CCCCATGTATCACTGTCTTTAAATAAACAGTCATGATCTGAAAATAATCAGGCTACAAGGAATTGCAGTCTTGGGTACTAAAGGCAGAAATTAGTGATTTTAATGACTATATTTTTCCTCCTTCAAGGAAAGTAGTATAGGGTTACTCTCTGTCAATACCTTATAGCTTAAACTAAGGGACTGGCTCGGCGCCTGTGGCTCACGTAGCTAAGGCGCCAGCCACATACACCTAAGGTGGCAGGTTCAAATCCAGCCTGGGCCCGCCAAATAACAATGATGGCTGCAACCAAAAAATAGCCAGGCATTGTGGCAGACACCTGTGGTCCCAGCTACTTGGGAGGCAGAGGCAGGAGACTCGCTTGAGCCCAGGGGTTGGAGGTTGCTGTGATGCCATAGCACTCTACCCAGGAGAATAGCTTGAGGCTCTGTCTCAAAAAAAAAAAAAAAAAAACCCAAAAAACTAAGGGACTAAGAACAGTATGTCTTCTACATCTCTGTCCTTGTAGGAAAGTATATCCACTTTTAATTATTAGGTGATGGCTGCATATAATAATAATTAAAAGTAGAATAGTGAGACTTTCTTTAACCTAAGTACTAGAGAAGTAGTTATATACACTCTGTCCTGAAAACTAAAATGTAATGATGTTTTATGTTATTGTCTTTTAAGAATATCCCAATTCCAACCCTAAAAGATTTTGCAAAGGCTTTGGAAACCAACACACACGTGAAATATTTCAGTCTTGCAGCCACCCGGAGCAATGACCCTGTTGCTGCTGTAAGTAAGCTACTGTTGATAATATTGAAATTATGTCTACATGCCAGTGTAGTGGTTAAACCGGGAAGTTATAGACAAGATTTACTCCCTTTTCCATTGGTGTTTATCTCACTATTAGGCAGTATAAGACTTATTACTCTTTTATGTTTATTGCTGTATTTCCTTCCTATGAGTTTTTAAACACATAATGTAATATATGCTATTTTACAACTTGATTTTTTTCTTTTCATATCAACACATAAAGATCTACATTGTTTAAACATCTGTGGAGGATTCCATTTATAGATCTATAGTGTTAGATTTTTGTTAAGTGTTTTTTGAGATGTTCATTTGGGTTTTGTCCTTTATTTGATTTATTACACTGAGTGACTTTCGTATGTTAAACCAACCATGCATTCCTGAGATCCCACTCGATCATGGTATGAACCTTTTCCTTCACTTGGTTTTAGGGCTATCACTCCTTTTGGTTCTCCTCCTACCTCACTAGGCAATCCTTCTCAAGGCCCTACACTGGTGTCTCCCCATCTCCCCAACCTTTAAACATTAGAATGGCCCAGGGCTTAGTCCTCCTTTTTTCTGCCTATACAAACTCCTGGGTGGTCTCATTCTGTTCATGGTTATCTGTCATCTACATGTGCTAATGACTCCCAGTGCTATTATCTCCAATTTATACCTCTTTCTTAAACTTTATACTTAACATCCAGCTACCTACTCAGTAGGTTTACTTGGATGTCTAATAGACAGTTTCCATCTGACTTCCATCCCAGGCCTGCTTCTCTCACCCTCTTTTCTTTCTATCTCAATAAATGCAACTTAAGTTTTTCATTTACTTATTGAGGGCGTGGGGGGAGAAAAGAATTATCTTTGACTTCCCTTTCTCACAACCTCAAATATACTTTCAACTGTATCTTCAAAGTATTTATATCTCTTATTTAGTGGTTAGGAAAAAATATGTATATATTTCTAGAATCCAACCATTTCCTCACCATTTTCACAACTATCACCCTGATCTAAGCCACTATCTTCTCTCATCCAGATCATTGCAATAACCTCCTAATTGAGCTATCCCCTCTTTCTTACCCACCCCAAAGTTTGTACATAGCACCAAGTGTTATTCTTTTAAAACTTAAGTTAAATCATTTAATTCCTATATTGAGAACCCTCTGGCAGCTTCACATCTCACTAAGAGTAAAAATCAAACATTTTCAGGGGCCTGATAAGGCCACAGGTGAGAAGACCTCATCTTCTTTACTTTCTCTTTCTTTCATTCTATACAGACATCTTGCTTTTCCTTACACATGCCCTGCAGGTTCCCAAAATTACATACTATTCGTCTATCTAGAATTTCTTCCTAAGATATCATACATTGTTCCAGTTCATCACTTTGCGTCTTTGCTCAAACGTCTCCTCCTAGGTGAGGCCTCCCTATATGAAATGGCAGCCCCAGGCACTCCTTACCTCTTTTCTTCTCACTACCTGATGTCACATTTTGCTTAGTTAAGTATTTGTATATGGCATGTACTTCTATTAAGAAGACGATCAAGTTTTAATCTTCACATACTTTCTTCAATTTCTAGGCTTTTGCAGATATGCTGAAAGTGAATAAAACTTTGAAGAGCCTAAATATGGAGTCCAACTTTATCACAGGAGCTGGGATTCTAGCACTGATTGATGCTTTGAGAGATAATGAAACCCTGGCAGAGCTGAAGATCGACAATCAGGTCAGTGTCCTACAATTGTAATTTTGAGGAAGTGATAGCCCACACTGCTATATAGGGGTTGGGGACTCAAGAAGAGAGTGGAATGAGGGCTGTGAGGGATCTCTTTTAGAAGGTGGTGACTGAAAGGGAGTGAGGGGATATTTGGGGCATCCAAAATTCTAATTCATGTATATAAAGATATATACAAAGTAGGGGCTGGGCACAGTGGCTCACTCACGTGATCCTAGTACTCTGGGAGGTCAAGGCAGGTAGATTGCCTGAATTCATGGGTTCGAGACCAGCCTGAGCAAGAACAAGATTCTGCCTCTAAAAATAGCTGTGGATTGTGGCATACACCTGTAGACCCAGCACTCAGGAGGCTGAGGCAAGAGGATCATTTGAGCCCAAGAGTGTGAGGTTGCTATGAGTTATAACACCATGATACTCTACACAGGGCAACAGAGTGGGACTCTGTCTCAAAATAAAATAAAATGAAGTAAAGTATAAAGTAAAATGAAAAAAAAGTAATAAAATAAATAAAAATTTAAAAAGGTATATACAAAGCAATTCTCCCTAAGTCATTTTTAAGAGAATTTAAACAACTGGCTATTTTGAACTAGAAGGACTCTTATGTGTGGCTTAGTCCATTTTCCAATTCTTTAGCTCTGTGGTGGCAAGGTTCACACTATAGACTTTTTGTATTTGTAGTTAGAGGCACAGAGATGTATATGTTAGAAATATTTCCATCCATAGTAGCTATTAATGTTTTATTTGAAAAATAACTGCAGTAGTTAAAAAAAAACCTGGTGTCTCCCTTAGTCTTTCAAAGTAAATAAATTTTGTAGGCCTTGAAGGTAAGAAAAATGATGTCTTAAAAAATGTTTTTTTTGCCCATGGATTAATAAACTTTTATTAAGTTTTTGTTTTTGTTTTTGTTTTTGTTTTGAGACAGAGCCTCAAGCTGTCCCCCTGGGTAGAGTGCCGTGGCATTACAGCTCACAGCAACTTCAAACTCCTGGGCTCAAGCGAGTCTCCTGCCTCAGCCTCACAAGTAGCTGGGACCACAGGCGCTGGCCACAGCGCCCGGCCATTTTTTGGTTGCAGCCGTCATTGTTGTTTGGCGGGTCCGGGCTGGGGATTCGAACCCACCACCTTAGGTGTACGTGGCTGGCGCCTTAGCCGGTTGAGCTATAGGCGCCAAGCCAATTTTTTGTTATTTTTATTCAAAAGAATTTGTTTCTCTATCACAAAAATTAAATAACCACACCACCAACAGTAGCAAAGTCTGTGGAGTTACATTGAGGGTGGAGAGTTTATTGGGTAGTTCCAGTGTCCCAAAAGTCATAAGAGGAAAAAAAGAATATGTTTAAAATTTAATCAGAATGCTCCATAATCTATGTTTTTGGGTTTTTTAAAATTGAGATATAATTCATTATTTCAAAGTATACAATTAAGTGGTTTTTAGTACATTCATAGAGTTTTGCACCCATTGCCAAAAATTCCAGAACACTTTCATTTGCCCTAGAAAGAAACTCTGTGTGTATTAGCAGTCACTCTCCACCCATCCTGCCCACCAGTCCCTGGCCATCACTAATTGCTTTCTGTCTCACTGGATTTGCCTGATTGGGACAGTTCATATCAGTGGAATCAAACAGTCTGTGATCTTTTGTGACTAGCTTCTTTCACCTTGTATAATATTCTCGAGGTTCATCTGGTAGCTCTAACTTTTTGAGCAACAGCAAAGAAAAAGTTTTCCACGGTAGCTGTACCATTTTACATTTCTACTAACAATATATTAGGGCCCCAGTTTTTCCACATTTCTGGCAATACTTGTTATTGTCTATCTTTTTTATTATACTTGTAGTAGGTATGAAGTGGTATCTGTCTCATAGTAATTCACTTTTTAAATGTCCATATAATCATATAGTGAACTTTTAAACATTGATTTTTCTTACATATGTTTTCTTTAGAAATTGGAAAAATTTAAAGAGACCAAAAAAATCAGCATGTGCCTGAATATCTTCATCTTAATTTAACTGAATAGTATTACGATCTAGTTTATTAATATTGTTCTTTATTTCTGATTATTCCAGAGGCAGCAGTTGGGGACAGCTGTAGAATTGGAAATAGCCAAGATGCTTGAGGAGAATACAAATATCCTTAAATTTGGGTATCAGTTTACACAGCAGGGACCACGAACCAGGGCAGCTAATGCTATAACAAAGAACAACGACTTAGGTAAGATACTTGCAGTATTCAGTTGAGTTTCTGAATTATACCATTAAGTTAACATATTGGGCAAACCTTTTTCACTTGTAAAACTAAATGTTAGAGAGAGATTGCTCGACCTTTGTTTCTAAAAATCAGTACAGTCCTTTTTATATTTATGGAATTAGAGTTAAATTTAATTGAGGTAGTAGGGATCATTGGGTCAATGGGTAAAATCAGCTTCCTGTGATAAATATAGTTTATGTTTTCTAAAACAAACGTACATTTTGTTCTCAGTTTTTTTTTTTGTTTGTTTGTTTGTTTTTTTGAGACAGAGCCTCAAGGTGTCACCCTGAGTAGAGTGCTGTGGCATCACAGTTCACAGCAACCTCCAACTCCTGGGCTCAAGCAATTCTCCTGCCTCCACTGCCCTCCACAGCCCTGTAGCTGGGACTACAGGCGCCTGCCACAATGCCCGGCCAATTTTTTTTTTTTTTTTTTTTGGTTGGAGTCATTGTTGTTTGGCGGCTCAGGCTGGATTCGAACCCACCAGCTCAGTTGTATGTGGCTGGTGCCTTAGCTGCTTGAGTCACAGGAGCTGAGCCAGAGCTTGGAACTATTAAAAGAAAGATTTTGACATTATAGGGAAGATTTTTGCCCTTTTTATCAAGTAGACCCAGATAGAAATTTTATATGATAAAATATAGACTATAGAAATAACATAAAATAGGGCGGCTCCTATGGCTCAGTGGGTAGGGCGCCAGCCCTATTTACTGAGAGTGGCAGATGCCTGTAGTCTCAGCTACTCAGGAGGCTGAGGCAAGAGAATCACCTAAGCCCAGGAGTTGGAGGTTGCTGTGAGCCATGACACCACAGCACTCTACTGAGGGTGACAAAGTGAAACTCTTGTCTCTAAAAAAAAAAAAAAGAAAGAAAAGAAATATGTAAAATATAGAATACTCATCATTTTTACCCAGGTTTATAGTCACTGGTATGTAAATGTTTGCTGGTCTGCCTGACAAAACTGTTCTGGGGCAGTGCCTTGTGGACATCTGGGTCAGTAATCTCTCATTCTTCCATGGATCCTATAAAATTGCTGAGGTTTGTAGCATCTGTTTAAAATAAATTTTCCAACCAAGGCTTAATTAAGGAATTGTGTTTCTACATGTTTTCCAAAATTCACTGTTAAGCTATGGTGTTTGCCATTGGAGTATTTTAAAAGATGTGTTTTAGGCAAGAATTAAAATCAGATTTCTCAAAAGGAGTAACATTTCAAAGGAGATTTCTCAAATGGAATAACATTTCCAAGTGCTACAGTTCTTTTAAACTTCAGACACATTTGAGTTTAATTCTTTACATGTTTTTAGAGCAGAAAAAATACAGCTTCATTCCCTTAATCCAGATCACTGTGAAAAGTGTTAGTTCTCTGGCCCAGCGCAGTGGCTCACGCCTATAATCCTAACACTCTGGGAGACCAAGGCTTGTAGATTGCTTGAGCTCATAGGTTGGAGACCAGCGTGGGCCAGAGCAAGACCTTGTCTCTAAAAATAACTGAACATTGTGGCGGGTGCCTCTAGTCCCAGCTACTTGACAGGCTGAGGCAAGAGAATCACTTAAGCCCGGGAGTTTGAGGTTGCTATGAGCTATAATGCCAGGGTACTCTGCCCAGGGTGACAAAGTGAGTCTGTCTCAAAAAAAGAAGTGTTAGTTCACACCCTTACATCCTTTCTGTCTTTCATATGACTATAGTTTCCCATAGGATTATTTCAGCCACTTAATTTTTAAAAGAAAAAATTGATGTGTTTTGGTGTATTATTGATTCTAGATAAAGTTTGCAAAGTCATGCTAATTGTTTTAGGATTGATTTACTAGTCACTTTATTTTTCCTGTTAGGTAATTCATTTTGGTTTTTAGAGCCAAGTTTTTCAAGTGTAGTTGAACTTCATAAATTATTGGAAAGCTTTAAGAACATTTAGATTATTGGCTTTCCTTACCTAAGAGATTCTGATTTAGTTAGTCTAGCATGGAACTCAGGCACTGGGACAGTTAGCAGTTACTCCAGCTGATCAGCTAGAGGTGGTTTCATGCTCAGTGCATGTTTCTCTGCTTGTTAGTGGATATTTGAGTTTCTAAGATCATTGTTAGACATCTGAACAGGTGTGGCCTTGTCATAGCTTGTGTCACACTTCTTTAATTGCTTTTTACACAGAAAATCATTTATACTTTAATGATATAGTCTATTTTCAAAAACTGTATGGTTATTGAAAGCAGGGTCCATGTCTTTGGCAAGGGCCATGTCCAGCTATTGAATCCATAACTCTTAAAATCATACCTGAGATATACTAGGTACTTAGTAAAACTGTATTAAGTGAATAAATGAGATAATAGAATTTGAACCCTGCTCAAAGTTACAAGTTTCTGGTACTTAAATAGCTATAAACCTAGCCAGAAATATCCTCCCTTTTTCTTCTTCTCTAAAACTACCCTAACAAGTCCTAGAATCTCACCCAACAGATTTGTATCCCTAACCAACTCTTACTTAAGTTTTTCCCAGGGGGGGCAGGTGATTCCAGCAGCTGTCCCTCCAGGAACTGTACAATGAAAAATCTGTAAGTGTCACGGTAGGGACACTAACTAACCTTTGCAAGACCTCAGCAGTTGTGAGCTTTTCTGCAGAGCCTTTAGTGGAAGGCACGCCGCCTGATTTCTATTTGAAAGGAAATGTCCAGTATTAGAGTAAGGGAGGCTTTGGCAAATGAAAGACGAGGGGAGCGCCTGAAAACTATTTCCTAGGCTGCTTTATGTTGATACTGAACAGTGGAGTTGCTTTCCCTGGCTGTTGGAGAGGAGGCCGTGTTGAAGTGTTGTGGTCTGACAAAGCAGAATCGAGAGAAAGCAAACAACTTTGTCCTGGGAGCTCCCTAGACTTCCACTTACATTTCATTCTGATCCAAACTAGATTTTCAGGCATGAAATGACAATGAGGACATTTCTAGAGAGAGGAATTGCATGGATAAAAGCCCAAATTTGAGGGCTACATGCTAACGACAGCCTGCAGATTTTGATAAGTGGCTCAGAGCATAATGCTAGCTCCAGAATAAACTTTTAGTAAGTATTTCTTGTTTGCAGCTAATGATAAAAAAAGTGGTGTCAGCAGATTAGGAGACAGAGTTGGAGCTTGGCACCTGTTGCTCAGTGGCTAGGGTGCTGGCCACATACACCAGGGCTGGTGGGTTCAAACCCAGCCCGGGCCTGCTAAACAATAATGACAACTACAACAAAAAAATAACAGGACGTTGTGGCGGGCACCTGTAGTCCCAACTACTTGGGAGGCTGAGGCAGGAGAAACGCTTAAGCTCAAGAGTTTGAGGTTACTGTGAGCTATGATTACCAAGGGCAGAAAGAAAAAAGAGAGAGAGAGAGAGATGGTTGGTAGAAGACACTAAAATTACATGATAAAGAACTAACACAAGCCACTGAATGCATAATTAAGACAATAATACAAAAAGAACTATGTTTATTATTTCAGAGATGAAGAATGAGGGGAAATAGGACATTTGCAATTGACTTATGATGAAATAGTGAGAAGAGTGGGTTTTGGAAAGAAATTTGACCAGATCAAAGAATTATCAATAGGGCAAAATGTATAAGCCTATCCTCTAGACTCTAGACCAATTAATCTCATGGCATACTTAAACCTATAGTTAAACTTCTGTGGCACATTTACATTATGTTGATTAAAAAAAAAGGAACAAAAAGAACATACTTAATGTGCTTTTGAAAATAATTTAATTAATGGTCTTTGAAAATTTTTGAAGCATACCTAAAATCCTCTGTGGCACAGCTGTGTGCCCCAGCACATTGGTTGAAAATCACTGCTCTAGAGGATGAATGAACAAATTGCTGCAAGTTAACAGGCCCACCTGTTAAGGTGAGAAAGAGGAGTCAGAAATGGCCCTTTGCCCCATTGCCCTCTGCTGTGCACAAGGCAGTGGTAGCCTCCCATCATTCTTCATTCAGCTTGATTTTTTTTTTCCAGCCATGTACCCTGACCTCTGCCTGTAGTCAAGGTGGAGGCCTAAAGATCATTTTTTCTGACACACAGGTCTCAGCAACCTACTATATAGTAACTCAAAAGAGGTATCAAAGAATAAGACTTGAAACTTATACAGAATCTCTTGGGCATACTAATGTTTTTAATATCACAAATGGGGCTCTATCAGATTCTTCGTGTTCTAGTTTTAATAACATCATTTCCTTTCTCATTGTTTTCTTCATCTCAGCTATTCGTTAAAATAATTCTGCCTACTTTCTATCTCTCCAACTAAGAGGTCTCACAGCTATAACACAAAGAAGTTGTATGGTATATATACAATATTCAATTTAACTTTGAATCTCTACTTACCATCTTTACACTAGCTAACTACATAATCCACCTACACTCTTTATGTTTGCTGTACTGTCCTATAGACCTTGTTCATAGCATGTATTTTTTATACTATTTATTTTAACATCTGAAGTGGTCTGCCAATAATATCTAAACCCTGCTGCAATTCAAATTTTTCTTTGCAGTGTTCTACCCTGAAGAATTATCTGAAATTTGCCTTTCAGAAATTTCTGTATTTTTCAGAGATATATATATGAGTAAAGTTTGTATTTGAGGACTCAGGTTTCTTGGGGTTTTTCTGTTTGTTTGTTTGTTTGTTTGTTTGTTTGTTGAGACAGACTCTCACTCTCCTGCACAGGTTAGAATGCAACTCAAAGCAACCTCAAACTCCTGAGCTCAGGCAGTCCTCCAGCCTCTCTTGTAGGAGGTTTTTGTTTGTCTTGTATTGTTTTGTTCCCCACCCCTCCACCACCCCCCACCCCCAGCTCGCACCTAGCCAATGGCTGGAAAAGCTTTTCTATACTTAACATGAATGTCTGATCTCATCTATTAAAGGCCTACAAACAGAAGCCAATAGTCAGAAAAGCCCAAGAGCAGAGTGTCTATGGCCCAGCCAAGTGCACCTGTCAGCTTCTAGTTCCTCTGCCAGACATCTAATTTAGGCTGAAGAAAGAGGCAGTTGCCTTCCTACTTGTTTCCGGAGATCGAGGAGAATAGAAAATTAATAGACCAATAATCTAACATAAACAGAGGAACTTACTGGGGAAAGTATCAAAACCAGTAACGTGTAAATGCAAGGCCTCTAACAATAACAGCTACAGTGGCTTTCTTCACCCCAAACAGATAGCTGACCAGGGCTTGAGGACCATCTCATAACCTTACTGTGGTAGATAATAAAGCTGATTACACTTTATTGAATGCCTACTGTGTTCCCAGTAATGTACCAGGCAGCCATGAGGTGTAGATGCCATTATTCTCCTGTTACAGAGACCAGATCGGCTCAGAGAGATTAACTGACTTGCCAAAAACGCAATACAAGGAAAGTGACAGAGCCATTATTCTCACTTTATTTGTCACTGTCTGGAACCTGGACTTTTTGTCCTCTCTAAATAGGGGTTGGCCTCAATGCTAAGGTGCCTTAATTTGGGGGCTGTCAGAGAACACACTCTGATGGCTGGTAGATAAGAGTGCAGGAAGCAAAGATTCTGAATTTGAATTCCTTGCCCTGCTGCTGGTGAGCACAGCTGAGTGATTTGGCATCACTAGTCCATGAAGAAGCTGAGAGTCCTCGGGTGTATGTGCCTTTCTTTACTCCATGAGCTGAACTAGACAGCCGGCTACTTTGATAGGCAAAGTTTATGGTAGCCAGAGTGACCTTACTACATTACCAGGGTCTGAGATTTTCATTAGTTTGCATTTGTTGTTTTGTCAGAACCCCGAACTGGTTAATTTTGTAGGAGACAAGAGAAGGAAAATTTGGAAAGCAATAGCAAGTCACTTACGTTTGAAAATGACAAAAGTGTTTTTGGTATGTTCTTCTACAGACTAAGAAAATAGATTGTAGTGTCTCATCAAGAGATAATACAGTTACTTTTAATATGTTCTAATCCCTTTTGCCAGAATGTCATTTCAGAAATTAACACAGTAATTTATTAGTCTTTTTTTCAGTAAACAACTGACTTAAAGATGATTGCTGACCATGCTAGTTTAGGTTTCTAGAGCTGCTACTGTATAACCACATTGATATCAGTCAGTGAGTTTAGGATCATAGTTTTTGTTTTGAAGCCCCTCGCTTCTCAACAGGTAAGTGAAGGTTTGTTTAAGTTATTAATTATCATGTAAAAACAGACATTACATTTTGATAAAAACTATAGCTGGATTATGCAGAAACTTGTTTGTCACAAGCAGATCAGCATTGTAAAAACTAATAGGGATTTCTAACTTACTTTCATTTTTCTTGTAGTGCGTAAGAGACGGGTTGAAGGAGACCACCAGTAAGCCCCCCCAAGGTATAATACTTGGAAGACTTCAAAAGATCACCCAGGCCTTATTTGGGTGACATCAGATATAAAAGTTTCCTGGGTAGAAGGGAAAAGACTGGAAAAAAAATTTTTATGATTTTAAAACAGTGAATTTTTTTAGTATAAGTTGTTATTAGTGTCACATTGTAAAATCAATAGATGATATTTTATATTTTGAAACATTTCTACTTTCTATTAAAATCAATTTGAATTTAGCGCAATTGAATGATTTACGATGGATCTTGGGCAAAAAAATAACAATTGTTTTAAAAGATTCGGAAGGCATTTATATAGAATAATTTGAATATTTTGAGGACCTTTTTTTTTTAATTGAAAGGGACAGTGCTGCTATCAAAATTGCTATGTAACTCCTTTTACATATAAAGAATTTAAAAGTGTTCTTTATTCCATGACCTGGATGGAGCCTTTGCCATTTTAAAAACACATCAACTTTTTTTTTCCTTGTCAAGGGAACAAAATGCCATGATTTTAAAACAGTTCATTCAAAATATGGTTATCTGTTTAGGACCAAAAGCAGATCTCCAGGGAGGGAAAATGATCTTCTGTGCGTTCCAGGTTACTTCATTTGTCTAACGCGTCTGTCTCAGAAATACCTAGAGCTTTTTTTAAACAAAGTCATCAGATTTACCAGGTTACAGACTTTGTTTAAAAGTAAAGTTATGTCTAAGGTCGTTCTAGTTTTTCATTTAATAACGTGGGTAGGGGTTTTTTTGTGTGTTTTTTTTTTTTTGAGACAAAGTCTCACTCTATCCTCCTGGGTAGAGTGCATGGCATCATAGCTCACAGCAACCTCAAACTTTTGGGCTCAAGTGATCTTCTTGCCTCAGCCTCCAGGGTAGGTGGGGCTATAAGTGCCTGCCACGATGCCTGGCCAGTTTTTTCTATTTTTAGTAGAGAGGGGTCTCGACCTTATTGAGGCTGGTCTCAAACTCCTTAGCTCAAGCAATCCACCTGCCTCAGCCTCCCAGAGTGCTGAGTTTACAGGTGTGGGCCACTATCCCCACCCAATGTGGGCATTATTAAATTTAGTGAAAGCTAATAGTAAAAAGCATCTGAGTAGAAGCTAACTTTTCCCCATAAAGGGGCATATAGCCAATTCTTGCTCATTTGGGATAAAAGAAAAGAGAAACTTGATGTTAAACACATGAAATCAGAGATCATAAATATGATAGAGTTCAAGTTTGAGGAGCTTGCAAAAGGATCATTTAAACTGATGGTTACTGTAAGTAAATTAGAAACTGGCACAGTTATAAATTACTTGGTATTACACAATATGCTAAGAAGTTCCCATATGCAGTGCACAGTTGCATAAGCAGTATTAAACCACCACTGAATTATTCCAACCAATAAGGAAAGCTCTTCTTCATAAATCTGATTGTTAGTGTATACTTCCTTTCATTTTGTACTTTTATTTACATTTTTAATTTCAGGTTAATGTGAGGGTACACACAACTAGGTTCTGTCTTGCACCCAGGTGTGCCATGTACCCTTACATTTTGCTCATCAAGTGGGAGCACACCGATCCCCTCCCTCTTCCCCTCTTCCCCCTCCCTCTTTTCCTCTCCCCCTAACTTGAATTGAGTTTTTCTCTTATGTTGGGCATGTATTAGGACATCTTGTACTTTTAAATTCATATTGTATGAAAGTCATTTCTATAACAAAAGTGGCTCAAAGTTTTAAAGCGAACAACTGAGTGGTGCACAGATGGGAAGACTGACACGAGGCTGCAGAACCACCACTGGGTGTGTATTCATGCCCTTCTTGGGGCAGCCCTTGGAGCAGGAGAAGGCAGAGAGCCCAAGGCAGTCTAAGGGACCTTGGCCTCCAAAGTTCAGGCCTGGCTGTATTTTTCTGAGGGAAGGTTTTACTGAAGGAAAGAATCTTATTTTTTATTAAGGAGGAGGTCATTTGTTAATTTTTTTTCTTTAGCTTTTTAAAGTTGAATCACAAAATATCTGCTACTTTGGCCTAGGCCAGTTTCTCTAATTAGCTAGGCAGCATGTATGGGAATAAGCCCTCTTTACAGGCTCGTGGCTTCCTTCATAAGAACACTAGTGTGTTCTTTGTTTATTTTTTGGTATTTGTTCCTTTTTTTTTTTTTTTTTAAGTCAGTATCTAGTGTTTTAAAGGGGCCAAAAATAAACTTTGTACCATTCCCTTTCAGTTATAGGCCACTGATTTTTTTTCCAAGGTGACGAGGTTCACTCGCTTGCTTGCTTGCTTTTCTTCCTCCCTCCTTCTCCTCCCTTCCTTTCCACATACAACTTTTGGATTAACTTTATGGAGACAGCACATTACCAGCAAGGTTGAGGGTCAAGAGTGGAGCACTGTCTAAGACGACCAGAAAGAATTGGCCACTTACACTTTCATCCAGCCATCCTTGTTTGCATTGTCCAGTAAGTCAATTAATTATTAAGTAGGTTTCACCTTCCTCCCATAAGCTTTTTTTTTTTTAAATATAGGTAGGTAGGACCCTACCTAGAATTTTGTATTATACTTATGGGTAATATCTTCTTCACTTACTATTTATCAAAGTATAAAGTTGAGTATTTTGCTTGTACCATTCCAGTTCTGTGCTACAATAGTTCATTATACACATACAATTCAAGAAAAGATGTCTTTATTAGTAACTTTATGAAAATTCATGCAATTGAACATAGAAAATCTTTCAAGAATTTTAACTATAAGGGAGAAGAATGGTATTTACTTTGATCTTTAAAAGTCTGGCACCTCTTGATCGTTTAGGAACCTTCAGTATTTCTAAATTGCTCTAAAATTTTATAATAGAATAGATTGGGGTTTTGAAATAGCCTTGGTATTTAAGCCAAAGATTTTTGTAAAACCTTATGTTTGTAGTCTAACCAACTTATCTGATTATCTAAAAGAATAGTCTTTGTATTTTTAAATTGCTGGGTTTTGGAAGGGTTTCAGTTACCCATTTTATAAAATTTTATATTTATATTTGTCTGACGTTCTTATTTTTCCAGTACATCAACATGAAATATATGTATTAAGAACTCAATATTGGTGGCAAATATTAATACTATTAAAAATGGATTTTGGTGCTGTATACTTGTAGCTAAAGCTTAGTAAAGTCTAAAGAATGGATAAAATACACCTTCTGAGGGTGCCTATGTTTAAAAGACCAAATAAACATGTCATGTTAAATACATTAGTAAATTGTTAGAGACTTCAAGGAGAGTTATCTCGGTCATTTAATCACAGATTCTTGTTATTTGCATGAAATACCACACACATATACTTGCTATGTTCAGGAGGTGGAAAAGTTACATGTAAATAGAACTCTAAATTGTTTTCCAATTGACCAGGTATCTGATGTGTTTTCATTTAAAAGGGGGATTCCATAATATAATAAACATTGTAAAAGAAAAACATGTTTTGATAAAATGTTAGTCATGGTCTATTGTACTTTATATTTAACTCTTGCCATTAAAATAACATGAAAGAATTTAATGGAGTTTCATAAAATCTTATATTTTTGGCTCTGTGTGTCCCTGTCCCAAGGCTGTCTTTTTCCCTATAAAATCAAGAACCACTGTTAGTCTCCCAGTAAGTTAAAGGATATACTTTCTCTGGAGTCTATAGCCACTTCCATTCTCTGCAGGTTCAGTACTATCCAGCTTTATTCTTTACAATGCTGTTTACTTGTGAGCAGTAATGACTGAAGACATGGTGCCCAAGAGAACCAAACACATTTGTGCACTAGGCAGCTCTTGCTGCTGTTGGAAAAGGGCTGTATTTCCCATGCTAAGATTTGCTTACCAAAAAAAATGTTTTTAACTCGTTACTAATTATTTTTAAATTGAGAAAATAGTATTCATAGGCAAACATTTATGTGTGTATATATTTATTTAGAGATGGGGTCTTGCTTCCAGAATAGTCTTGAACTCCTGAGCTCAAGTGGTCTTCCCAAACTGCTGGGACTATAGATGTGAGCCACTGTGCCCAGCCTTATATTCTTATGTCATACAGTTTGAGCATCCCTAATCCAAAGATTCAAAATTCAAAATGCTCCAAAAGCCAAAACTTTTTTTTTTTTTTTAGAGACAGTCTCACTTTATCGCCCTCAATAGAGTACTGTAGCGTCACAGCTCACAGCAACTTCCAACTCCTGGGCTTAGGCAATTCTCTTGCCTCAGCCTCCCGAGTAGCTGGGACTACGTGTACCCACCACAACACCCAGCTATTCTTTTGTTGCATTTTGGCTGGAGCCAGGTTTGAACCCGCCACCCTCGGTATATGGGGCTGGTGCCCTACTCACTGAGCCACAGGTACTGCTCCCAAAGCCAAAACTTTTTAAGTGCTCATATTGGTGCTCAAAGGAAGTGCTCTCTGAAGGATTTCAGACTTTCAGATTAGGGATACTGAACCAGTAAGTGCAATGCAAATATTTCAAAATCCAGAAAAATATGAAATCTGAAACACTTCTGGTCCCAAGCACTTTGAATAAGGGATACTCAACCTGTATTGATTTTTCTCCACTATAATTCAGTCTCATAAGTCCTTCCCTATAAAAATTGAGTAAATTGGACATTTTGTAATAAAAAATTGTAACATTTTTATTTTAAGTTCGTGCAGTCTCAGCTCGGCGCCTGTGGCTCAAGTGGCTAAGGCGCCAGCCACATACACCTAAGGTGGTGGGTTCAAATCCAGCCCGGGCCCGCCAAACAACAAT